GTGAGACTTTAGCTGGAGATGTAGATATTAAGCACATCGCATCGAAAGTCAAACGATGAAGATGTAAAGTCAAACGCTGTAGATATAGCTTAAGCTGTAAAATCTAGCGCTGGACATGTACAATCGGGCGCTGTAGATATAAGGTTCAGTGTTGTAGATCTAAATTCCAGGGCCGGAGATGTATCGTCCGCTGTATATATAAACCCAAGCGCTGGTGATTCAACGTCCAGCCCTCGAAATGTAAAGCCCAGTTCTGAGGATGAAAAGTCCTGCGTTGCTGATGTAAATTCAAGCACTTAAGGTGATAAGTCCTATACTGCAAATGTAAAAAGTCAAGTGCAGTGATATATTTAAATCCTAGTGCTGGACTTGTGAGGTCTAGCGCTGGCAGGGGCGGGTCCAGGTGAGGGCGTAATGGCGTACGCCACCCCCCCCCCCTTTAAAAAAAAATATATCGTAATCTGCTAATATTGTATTGAAGATGGGAATTTATCATTTTCATTAATTAAACACATACTCTGAAAATGGTTCTAATGAATCAACTCTAGTCTAACCATTCATTGAAAATGAGAGTCCGTCAGTACTTCTGTGTTCATTTTAGGTTTTGCGTTAAGGTACATTTATACTAGTAAATAAAATTGAGAATGGAAATGGGGAATATGTCAAAGAGACAACAACCCGACCAAAGTGCAGACAACAGCCGAAGGCCACCAATGGGTCTTCAATGCAGCGAGAAAATCCCACACTCGGAGATGGTCCTCAGCTGGCCCCTAAATAAAATTGTGTGCTAGTTCAGTGAAAATGGACGTCACACTAAACTCCAAAACATACAAATGAAATAAAATTAAAAAATCATACAAGACTAACAAAGGCCAGAGGCTCCTGACTAAGGACAGGCGCAAAAACTGCGGCGGGGTTAAACATGTTTTGTGAGATCTCAACCCTTCCCCTTTACCTCTAGTCAATGTAGAAAAAAGAAACACATAGCAATACGCACAGTAAAACTCAGTTTAAAAGAAGTCCGAGTCCGATGTCAGAATAGGTAACAAAAGAAACTAAGCAAAATGACAATGATACATAAATAAACAAAGGACTACTAGCAGTTACTGACATGCCAGCTCCAAACCTCAATTAAACTGATTGAAAGATTATGTCTTCATCATCATACGAAAATCAAGTACAATCCCTCCCGTTAGGGGTTTAGTATCATACCATCATAAAATATACGAGAAGAACAAACCCTATATGGTACTGACTTGACATAAGTAACATGTATATTTAGTATAGCATTTTTACTTCCCATCTGGGTAGCCTTTGGTAGTATCATATTGTTTCAATATCCATTAGTGAGTAACTAAGTGACATTGACCTACATTTTGCCATCAAGTTCAAGCACCATATTTATTTATGTACCATATACCACCTATCGGAACTAGACAGTGACATGATTGCTTTAATTAAGTACTGTAGTACAATGACGTCAATTTTTCATATTCAATCATGTATTCCACATTAAAGCCTACAATATTTAGAACGAAAGAACTTTATACTTCAGTGTTTGTTTGTCTTGTATCATTTGTGTGACGTTCAACGAAACCAGAACTTAATCTAAAATAGAGAGATATTTATCAGTCTGGCTACTTCATAATTTGATGCTAAATTGTTGAAATCCAGGAGCTTGTGAGCTTCCCCATGGACCCTCGACCAGGGCAACCGTAATTTCGCCTCCCGTTCATAAAATCCTGGCCTAGGACTATTGAAATGTTAAGTAACGCCTTATACACTAGAATTTGGAATTTGTCGTTATTGGTCTACTGCTGTAAAGATCTATCCAATCATTTCAATATACCATAGACAATTAATGGAGAGAATTCGGCATAAAAAATGTCAAAGCCTGACACTCTATATATAACTCCAAGTCAGGAGCCGTTACATTAGTGCATTTCACAATTATTTGATGTTTTTTTAGCAAAAAAAAGGTCCAAAATTTTTTTCGCTTCGCTCCGCTCCGCTCGGCGAAAGATTTGATTCTACGCCCCCTCTTTCAAAATTCCTAGAAACCCCCCTTTTTAGTATGCTGGCACCACATGTAGAGCAGGATCTGTCTACCCTTCCGGAGCACACGCGATCATCTCCAGTTTTGGGTGGGATTCATCCTGCTCTGTCATTAGTTTTCCATGTTGTGTTTTGTATATTGTTGTTTGCCTGTTGGTCTTTTTCGTTTTTAGTCGCGGCGTTGTCAGTTGACTTATGTGTTTGAAAATCCCTTTGGATATCTTTCACCTCTCTTTTCGAATGTGGTGGGTTTTGCACCTAGTTGAGCCTATACAATCATTAATACTAATTTTCAAAAATACTGTGAAAACAAAAGAATATAAAAATTCTTTCAATATACATAACAATAAAACCATTTTTATTTTACCCTTTTTTTATTAATATTGTATTGATATTGTGTCATAGATCAAATTTATTCCGTCAATGTATGTTTACTTGTTTTTGTTAATATGTGTTTTTGATTAAGTTAAGCCATTTCAATTGCTATTTTATAATGTGTCTTTCTATTTTGTAATGTAACACCACTACTTCAGGTTAAGGTAGGGTTGGCGCCTGTTAAAAATCCGCTGCATTTGTTTGCACCTGTCCTTAGTCAGGAACCTGTTGTTCAGTGGTTGTCGTTTGTTGGTGTAGTTCATAAGTGTTTCTCGTTTCTCGTTTTACATATATATTAGACCGTAAGTGTTCCTGTTTGAATGGTTTCCACTAGTCATTTTCGGGGCCCTTTATAGCTTGCTGTTCGGTGTGAGCCAAGGCTTCGTGTTGAAGCCGTACTTTGACCTATAATGGTTTACTTTTTACTAATTGTGACTTGGATGGAGAGTTGTCTCATTGGTACTTTATATACCACATCTTCTTATATCTATATAACAATGAAACCATATTCCTTTATTATTATTATTATTATTATTATTATTATTATTATTATCGTTATTTATTTAAATTATACATGTTATGATTATATATCAGAAGACAGGACACAGAGTAGTAAGACATTTATTCCCATCAAAATTCATTTTTACAATAGTTTTTACACAGTAATATAACAAAAATCATCTGTATTTGCAATGTTCATGAGATACAAACACAAAAATTCACTCGTTAAAATAAAAAAATTCTGACAAATAAATTGAATTGTTTCAATAAAATTAACTTATCTAATTAAAAACATTGACCTATCATTCGGTGTCATTTACGATGCAAGTTTGCATAAAAGGACTCCCATTCTACCTTAAAAGGAATAAGAGGACATAACTATCGCCTTTACAAATCTACTTAAAAAGAACCACTATTAGATTTAGTACCCATTGGTGCCGTTGTGCTGATTTCTGCTCTTTTGTCGGGTTGTCTTTTTGACACAGTCCCTATTTGCATTCTCAATTTTATAGAGTACAAAATGATATCACAAAGAAACAAAAAGGTGTCCTTCATATTATATCGGCTTTGATGAAGAAATTGACAATGGTAAGTTGAGCAAACTTTTGAACAAATGGTTCTAAGTTGTTAAGTTGAAGTTTAACTTCGAACGTTGTACCAACGCAATCTATATTGAAAATCGTAATGGAAATCGTGTGTCACAGATGACCTTTGATATGTTCAACTTGTCGTAAATACAATTTCGTTTTATTTTCTGAGATTCTGATTTCATCGAATGCTATTTATCACAGAAATTGGACAAGCCATTAGCTTCACAACGAGTTCCACCAGTGAAAGAAGAACTTTTATCCCTCCGGAGTACCTGAGTTCAGTCCTGTTTTAATGGGATTCGTTTTGATAATTTTTAGTTTTTATCTTTTCGTCATTTTTCTTCCGGGCATGTTTTCTGTTTCTTTGGATCTTATCTATTTTTTAACAACCATCGTATTTGAAAACAATACCCTTATAGCTATAGTTATAGCATGAAAGGTTTTGTGTTTTCAGCCCAAGTAAGAAAGAAACTTATTTTCACTATACATATATTGATACATGTTATTTTTATTACAATGAAATTTATGCCGATGTTTTCTGCTTATCGAGATTCAGGTTATCTGATGAAACCTGAACACTATTAGAACGGATAGTATTCAAAAGTAGACGATTTATCTTATAAGCATTGCTAAACATGCATATCAGTCAGGAATGTAATGTTGTTTGGTTTGTTGCCGAATTAAATGATAGACCAGAAAAGAGATATTTGTTACCACCTTTAAACTTGGATTTGTACAATTCTAAAACACGCTTGTTACAAATGTATGACATGAAAATAAATGTTCCCGTCAATAAATTACACATTGAAATTAAAACGGTGAACATGGATTCCGGGAACAAAGCATCAATAAACTGTAGTAACCAAGTGCATCCAGTAATGGCAAACAACTTAAAGTATATGACTATGTTGTCCTTTTTTTCATGTGATACATTCTCTGATGACACGTGTGGAGAACTACAAATGTTATAGATTGCTGTAGCAAACATGAAAACATTTGACAACAAGATTATACCAACCGGACATAAAAATGTGACAATTGCTGCCAATTTAAAAACAATAAAGCACAAATCACCTCCATATCCAATAGACTGATAATCATTGTCAATAAAAGTCACAAGAATATTGCTTGTAACTATGACAGCCGGAAATCCAAAAATATAAGTCTTGTATTTGAATAAAACATGAATATTTGAGTTTGCTGTGGTTGAAAAACTTGTGGTGAAAACCCTGTAAACATGAAATGTGCACACATTGAATGATGTAAATACAGTCAAAATGAAATAATGCTGAAGGACACCAATCACCTGACATAAATAAATATTTTCTAAACTGTACAGTCGAACATGGAAAAGAAAGTCGTTCAAAATCATACATAACACTAGAATCATGTTATTTTGACCTGGAACTGTTCTCAGACTTTTAAATAAAATGTATGTTATAAATGTGAGAATTAAACAAATAAGTGATATAACATTACAAATGGCCCTGATAATAAACATAGGAAGTTTTATATTCTCATTTGGCACTTCGGAAATGAGCTGAAGATACCTATCAGAACACACTCGAATAGAACTATTCTTTACTGTAAGATAGTCATTACGACCTAAGAGATTGTCACTGTTATGAAGCTTAATCTCCCAATTTCTTTGCTTTGCATATTCGGATGTGGTCAATTGAACCTGAGTACATAGTAGTAGCTTGTTTACACGGTAATACATAACAAGTTTGCCCGGAGCATGTATTGGATTCACGCTTTGATATGTGCACAAGTCTGCAACCGCTATATTGTCTACCAATGAAGGTACATCAAAGGCCTCCGCATCACTTTCATATTTTACCCTCAGAATAAGATCACTTTGATTAAGGGTTACTGTTGAATTCATCAGGTGTAGCAATTTTGAATCAATGTAATGTCTTGATACCACACCAAAAGTACATAAATCGAAGTATAGGTACCCCGAAAATGAAGTTTTAATATTAATGTTATTGCACGAGATGTTCGCAATCATATACTTCATATTACAATGTATTGATGTATTTATTAACCTTGTATTCAAATCATCAAATGCTTCATTGGCAAGTTTTCTTATCAAATTGATACCCACTGCCTCACGGGCGTTTTCAGAAATTATAGCGTCAAAGTGAACTGCAAAAATATAGCATAAATCTTCTGTCATTTGAAGAATCGGGATACATGTGTTGTTTGAGAAGACCTTTCCAGGAATACACCTCAAATCTCTACAAATATTCTGAAAAAAAAAGAAGAAAATTATGGTTTATGTTGATATAAATATACATTTGAAAATTGAAATTTTCTTTGGATTTAAAACCAATGGACATTGGTTTTATTCAATATACATCAGAGTTGATAAAATTCTTTTGTATGTTTTCAAATAAAAAGGGAAATTAAAATGATTATGATAAAATCGAATGAGTTGTATGGTTATTGGACAAATACAAACTTAAATATTTGAAGCCAAAGTAATTGTTCACTATGTACGTTTTTTTTTTGTTTTTTTCTATGGTATTCACTTTTGCTGTTTAATAGATACGGTATTATGAGAGTTTTAATTTTAAAGTTTCATTTTCAGAAAAGGCAGTTGTTTATATTTGTACATTTCGTTTTGTTCATTTGTCTTATATTGAACAAACGATCTTTCATTAATTTGCATAACGCATACTGTAAATTAGAAATTATTGCGTGCATTTATTATAATTACGATTTTTGAAGAATGAACAAAAATGCGAGTTTAATGTTTGCGATTTCGAAAAATCTGCATACAGATCTATGTTTCAGACATCATAATGCGAGTTCTTATTATTGCAATACTCACCCTTTTACATTATTCGCATTAATTAAAATCTTGCAATAATTTCTTAATTCTGTTTTTTTGAAATATTCTTTATCTGGTTTGCTCTAGACAACGTTTTTGAAATCTTAATATAGATAACACAGACTAATTATTAAGGTCAGCACAGAACAGTAGTAAAAACTATCTCGGGATAAACAACTATTTAGGGCGATCCAACTTAAGTTTTGCTACAAAATAAAACAATTCATAAACTCAAAATATACAATTAAATATTTGATTTTTCTAACACTGGTCTTTACCTTTTCAATCACTACATATTTTATTGTCTAAAATAAAGTCAGATTGTTAATTAATTATGTTGTAAAAATCATTTTACATTGGAAATGCCATTTATCTATATTAATGTTTTCTCTAATAACGGTTAACTTAAAGTTTTACCCGTTAAAAATTGTATTTTACTCACCAATGAAGAATCAAAGATTTGATGACTTGAACAACTCTGAGATAATGAGCTACCTTTAGTTTGGTCATATGATGACAACAATAACATTGAACGATATCCAGTGCTTCCACCTGAACCTATCTGATCACCGAAGAAACACAATTGACAATATATCAATTGGATGTTCCAGTTATATTGTGTAACACGATAGCATATTTCGTCTTTAATGTTAAACAGCAAAAGAAAGTATAGGTTTCTACATAAAAGAGGTTCCATAAACACGGATTCCAAGTTGCATATGTAACAAAAAATATTATAATAACCTTTATATGCAACTAAATTACTTTCTTCTAATGACAGGCATGCGGATTTCAAAATAAGGAACGTATTAGTTGTGTACATAGGTTCACTGCATTCACGTATCAGTTGTGGCTTACTGACACATTGTACTTTGTACTTTGAAACAGGTTCAAAGTTATTGCACCCGCGTAATACAGATTCCTCAGTTATATCATTAGCGCTGTAAAACAGACTAAATATTTCCTGCTTTGGACAGATTATCATAAATTGCCACTGCCTTGTGAAAGGAATATCATCATTTGTGTTCTGTGAATCTGTAACATTCATCTGTAGAGTGTCGACAACAATAGCTGTTGTATTATCATACATCGCCAGTTGTGACTGTTCGTTACAGTAGCGAGGAAGAACATAATAAACATGTCCAATACCCGAATGTTTATATAATATATCGATGGCATTGTTTAAAGTCTGGTTAACATTACACTGATAACAAAATTTATTTGTGTATGGATACATGCTTGCACTAGGCAACGAATTGTTACATAGTTGAAAGAGACTGGTTTTTTGATTGTTTGATGAACATGACGTTATGACCTCTTTGTGACCAATGGGAGGATTACAAATATAACAGAATACGTTTTTAAACATTCCAATCGGCTGATCTACTGATTGACATGCTTGAAGTACAGAATTATCTTCATTTAACCAAGTACCAGTTTTATTACATTCAGATATCACACCTTTTGGATCATCTTCACAGGATTCGATGAAAGATTTGTGGTTATACAAAGGGCTTGTTATTATTGTGCAGTTGTTTTGAATAGCCAGTGTAGCTATTTCATTAACTGAGCTAAGAATGTTAAAGTTAATTTTCATTTCACATTGAAAATCAAGATACCATGATTCCAAATTTTGCGCATCATTGTTACACTGGGCACAGTAAATATTGTCATATGTCAAGTGGGTGTTAAGTGATGTCATAGGGATTGTCACAATTCTCGCCATGACGTCTCTTTTCTTTGTACACTTCATGTGCAATTCAGCAGGAGAATAACGAGGACATTCTTTCACGGTTTTATATTGATTATATGTTGTTGCCTTGACACGTTGCATTGCTGGGCGATAAATTATTCCATCAAAGCAAATTCTTTTTGGTTGATGAAGCATAACTTCTGGACAACAGTTTGCCTTCTTTATACAATTGTTATTACAAGAGCATAGTCCACAAATCATTGAAGAAAATTCATTGTCGTTGAGAGTATCATTCGATAAAAAAGAATGAGTCCCACATATATTATGATATTGTTCGAGCACATTCTCTATCTGTGAATCTATCAGTATTTTTCCAAAGGTATTCTGAACAACCAGCAAGATAATGCTGAAATATTTCCACATTTTGTGTTTGTCAACTCTGTGTCTAAATAATACAATATAGTAGTTATATTATGTAGGAAACACTATTTTATGGAAGTGCCTAGTAACTTCATTTAAAAAGATTTAAAGGTAAGCAACTATAGATGGATGATTAAAAGAGATAACCACTGGGATGTCGTTTTCGACAGATAAGTGTTAAATATGAAATTGAAAATTTAATCTGTGAGCACTCAGTCATCTCCTACATTAGAAAAGTGTAATAACAGAAAACCAAACCTTGATATCTAATATAGTAATTTGAAATTAAAACTTTTGATGCTTTATAAATAACGAAGTAATGAAAATTACAATTCTAGAAAATAAACTGGTTTACCGTCACTGATTTAACATCAATACTTAAATGGTCAAATAAATTGCTACAAATACACATTAAAACCATAGGATATATAAACTTACCTTTGATATTAAGATAAAATTCAGAATGGAAATTGGGAATGTGTCAAAGAGACAACAACCCGACCAAAGAGCAGAAAACAGCTGACGGCCACCAATGGGTCTTCAACACAGCGAGAAAATCCCGCATCCGCAGGCGGGCTTCAGCTGGCCCCTAAACAAAAATGTGTACTAGTTCAATGAAAATGGACATCACCCTAAACTTCAAAACATATAAATGAACTAAAATTAAAAAACATACAAGACTAACAAAGGCCAGAGGCTCCTGACTTAGGACAGGGGCAAAAATGCGGCGGGGTAAGATATGTTTTGTGAGATCTCAACCCTCTCACTATACATCTAGCCAATGTAAAATAAACAAACACACAGAAATACGCACAGTAAAACTTAGTTTGAAAGAAGTCCGAGTCCGATGTCAGAATAGGTACCAAAAGAAAATAAGCAAAATGACAATGATACATAAATTAACAAAGAACTACCAGCAGTTACTGACATGCCAGCTCCTGACCTCAATTAAACTGAATGAAAGATTATATCTTCATCATATGAAAATCAAGCACAATCCCTCCCGTTAGGGGTTTAGTATCATACCATCATAAAAGATATGAGAAGAACATGACCCTTATCATGCCAACAACTGGTTTTAGAATAAGTGTGTGTATTTCCAATGCAAAGACCCTATGAGTGAATCAATATTAATACCAAAATATGCCATCTTTAATAACCTGACAACAGTATCGTAACTATAGCCCTTCTGAATAAGTCAGTTTAAAGGTTTGGTTAGCTTTTGAGGTGAGTACCGACATTTTAGTGCTTTGTATAGCATATTACCATAAAAGATTGGATGTGAAATACCTGAACGTATAAGATGTCTGTATGTTGATTTATATTTACGAATGATGTCCTTGTACCGATGATAAAATTTGTAAATGTTTTGACTAGTTTGTGATATCGAAATCCCTGGTGTAATAATTTTTCAGTAATACAGAGATTTCTTTCGTTAAAATCAAATACCATGTTACATACACGAGCAAATAGAACAAGCTGAGATATATAAACACCATAAGATGGTGACAAGGGAACGTCACCATTTAAAAATGGATAATTAACAATAGGAAATGAAAAATCATCTCTTTTATCATAAATTTTGGTATTAAGCTTCCCGTTAAAGAGATATAGATATCAAGATCCAGGAAAGGGCAGTGTTCATTGTTAGTATTAATTTTTTTTAAGTCAGTTCAGCAGGATAAATCTCTTAAGTGTACATACTAAGGTCGTCATTATTGAGAGCCAATATATCATCCAAATATCTAAAAGTGTTATTACATTTTTGTACCAGATGTTGTTTCGATGGGTCTTTGCTGATTTTAGTCAATAATTGTAACTCATAAAAATACAGAAACAGGTCAGCAATAAGTGGTGCACAGTTAGTCCCCATTGGAATTCCGATAACTTGACGATATACGGAATCTCCGTTAATGGTTTATCTGATGCTATCTATTATTTATATTGTGATAGTTGCTTCGGTACAAATTTATATTAATATATAAATCTATCAGATAAGGATGTAAGCAACTTTATATCACAGTACAGCCTTCGTCAATGAGCGAAACCCATACCGTATAATCACCTATCAAAGGCCCCCGACATGACAAAATGGAAACAAATCAAACGAGAAAAACCAATAACTTATGACGAACCAACGAAAAGCACTGAATTACATGATCCTGACTTGGGACAGGCAAATTAAGAATGTGACAGTGTAAGACATGTTTGTGAACGGTCGCCCTTCCTTTATCTGGGACAGTGATTATACAGTGTAATATAAATACAAACTGTAAAAATAAGTTGGAAAATGCTTGACTCACCATAAGTACGAAGCAAAATGAACTAACTTAAAACTATTACCGTGAAATATGTTATGTATGACTGATAACATACACATCGACGACATCTCTGCTACCAATGGCTTATAATTAAGATGTCTTTTTTATGCCTATATATAATGGACAATCTATAGCATAAGTTGGTAGCCGCGAAGTTCAGATAAAGGAGTTTTAGAGTCAAAATTAGGAGTAGACATTTGTCGGTTTAGGTTAGAATTACGGTTATCTCTGTGTTGTACCTTTTCTTTAGTTTGTTTGATATTTGTGCAATAAGAACTGATTTTCCCGTTTATCTTTTGGTTTATTAATGGCTATTTTACGTAATTCAAAAGAAAATTTCTATTTTTTTCATAAATATAGGGTGATTTCATTTCTGTAATTAAATTTATGTTTACATTTTGGCAAATCACTATAACAACGTATTATATAAACTTTAAAATTAGTTTGAATACGTCTTATTTTGTTAAGTACCGACATTATTCAGATTCATTATAATTTAATCGAAATTTCAATACCGTGTACTGAGAGTGACTGCAATTTTGTTTTAAAATATAAGTTCATGATTTTGATCTACTACCTGTAGACTTCTTATTATAGGTTGTTTCTTGTGAATCATTCATGATAATTAGGTGGTTATTTGAACTCACTGATAATAGGGCATAATTAATGAAAGAACTGTATTTTGAAAAGACGGCTGAAGAATAGTTTAAATGATAGACACAATAGATCGTTTTAACGAACCAACGCTTATCCATTGAATCTTAGCTACATTATATAATGACAAAAGACACAAGGTAACGATCTAAGCAGTTACTGAAAACTAGTTAAAATCCTAATATAACTAATAAATAAATCATGTTACCTCTGACAATACAAATACAATACAAATAATTTTATTCACTAACCACAGTGCCCGTACTAGGGCAGAATAATTACAGTTTAATTATGACTACAAGACAAAACATACAATACTTAACATGATTTGAATGATTGAGTGACATCATGAGTCAACCTGTATACATCCAACAGATTAAGGGCATACGATACAGTTTTGATCCCATAATGAAAATTTGATGAAAATTTGCAAATATGCTATTTTTTACCTGATAAAATCAAATATCTAATAAAAAATATACCTTCATGTGCTACTTTTTGAGGAAAATGAGTTCGAAATTTCAGATATTTGTTCAAAATTCGGATTTGTGGTCATATTTTTCCTTCCGACAGAAATGCATAATTTTTTTGTTATAAAAGATAAACACAAGCTGTTTTTTGTTAAATTATTTGTAATTTCTGTTTTATATAAGTATCCTATAAATTTATGAAATCTTTTGTTTAGAAATAACTCAAATTTATCAAATGATCATGAATGTAGAAAAAAACGTCATTTTTTGCTGTATATTTATCAAATTTAAAACAAATGCATTATTGACTTTTTCATGAAAATTGGTACAAATAATCTTCATACGTAATCAAACCGAATGTCATTTAAAAAAGAGGGGTCCATGAACTCGTTTTCAAGTTAAATCAGTTTGAATGATAAAAATCAGTCGAAAAATACATCTTTTCCCGATATACATGTCACAGTTTGACGTCGCCAAAATAACATTTTACGTTAGCAACGTCATTACCTCCCCTGTAACTGTATCGTATGCCCTTAAGTGTGAACACGTCATTAACTGTGTGAGACAAGCATGGCATTGTGCAATGTCAATATATAAGTGTACAGTATCGACAGGATGTAGGACCATAAGTTTTCATGTCTGTATAACAAAAGATATTTATTTATTTTTTTAATTAATAATGTTTCCAGGTAAATCTAAAATGTGCAAAAATAACACACAGAAAAAAACACATTTATATTTATTAAAAAAAAACGTCCGTTTAATTGTAAATCAGGATATTTCATTTTATATACTTAACGACAATTTAAGTTTAAATTTACAAATTTAAGTATACTAATAAGCAACAGAATTTGATTTACAGTAAAAAAAGTAAAAAAAAAAAAAGAAAGTCTAAAAAAATGGAATAAAACGAACTAGCAATCAAGTTTTAATCCATGAAAGAATTTAGTAAACGTTGCTTAGTACAGTAAATTCAAAAATTATTGCGACGTTTATATTGATGCGTATAATGCGACTTGGTAAGTATCACTGAAATAGGAACTTACATTATGGTGTCTGATATATATATATGTTGTGTACAAGTTATCATTTTGTACAAATTATAATTTTTCAAAACAATTTTACAAATTATAATTTGTATTTTGACTTTGTACAAATTGTAATTTGT